GGAATCCTCCAGCCAGCGACGGCGCCAGACCATGCAGTCCGAACGGAGACAGCATCCCCGGCGTGCCACCTGCGCACAAGAGGCCCTCTCCCGGTCACACGCCACAGAGGCCCGCTCCCAGTCACACGCCACAGGATTGCTCCCAGTAATACGCCACAGAGGCCCGCTCCCGGCCACACGCCACAGAGGCCCGCTTCCAGTCACGCGCCACAGAGGCCCGCTCCCGGTCACACGTCACAGAGGCCCGCTCCCGGTCACACGCCACAGAGGCCCGCTCCCAGTCACACGCCACAGAGGCCCGCTCCCAGTCACACGCCACAGGATCGCTCCCAGTCATACGCCACAGAGGCCCGCTCCCGGTCACACGCCACAGAGGCCCGCTCCCGGTCACACGCCACAGAGACCCGCTCCCGGTCACACGCCACAGAGGCCCGCTTCCAGTCACGCGCCACAGAGGCTCGCTCCCAGCCACAAGCCACAGAGGCCCGCTCCCAGTTACACGTCACAGAGGTCCGCTCCCAGTTACACGTCACAGAGGTCCGCTCCCAGTTACACGTCACAGAGGCCCGCTTCCAGTCACGCGCCACAGAGGCCCGCTCCCAGTCACAAGCCACAGAGGCCCGCTCCCGGTTACACGTCACAGAGGCCCGCTCCCGATCACACGCCACAGAGGCCCGCTCCCAGTTGCACGTCACAGAGGTCAGCTCCCAGTCACACGTCACAGAGGCCCGCTCCCGGTCACACGCCACAGAGGCCCGCTTCCAGTCACGCGTCACAGAGGCTCGCTCCCAGTCACAAGCCACAGAGGCCCGCTCCCAGTCACACGCCACAGGATCGCTCCCAGTCATACGCCACAGAGGCCCGTTCCCAGTTACACGTCACAGAGGTCCGCTCCCAGTTACACGTCACAGAGGCCTGCTCCCAGTTACACGTCACAGGGGCCCGCTTCCAGTCACGCGCCACAGAGGCCCGCTCCCAGTCACAAGCCACAGAGGCCCGCTCCCAGTTACACGTCACAGAGGTCCGCTCCCAGTTACACGTTACAGAGGCCTGCTCCCAGTCACATGCCACAGAGGCCCGCTCCCAGTCACACGCCACAGAGGCCCGCTCCCAGTCACTACATACAGAGGCCCGCTCCCAGTCACACGCCACAGAGAGCCCCAGAGAGCCATTCTTTGGTGCTCCCAGTCACGCATCACAGAGAACCGCTCCCAGTCACACACCACAGAGAGCCGTTCTCAGTCACGCACCACAGAGAGCCGCTCCCAGTCACACGCCACAGAGAGACACTAAGTTACACACTACAGTGATCCGCTCCCAGTAACATTTCAGAGACCCGCTCCTACTGCAACAGACTCGACAACGCCACACAGACACGGTTACAGCAACAGGTAACCACTTCCCGTAATACGCCGGAGAAGTAATAGTAATACGCACACAGACAATCGGTTACAGCAACAGGAAACCACTTCCCGTAATACGCCGTCACTGCAGGTCTCATAAGCTAACCAAGCCAGCGCTGAGGTCTGATGACCAGTGTGACGTTGACAAACACTGCCCAGCCGCGCGGCGCCGTCAGCGCGCGTCCGCCCCCACCGGCCTGTGGGTGAGGTGCAGCCGGCCGACTCGGCAGGAGCCGTCATCTGGCCGCGGCCGCGCAGCAGCCGCCGCGCGCGGACGGCGGATCGGTGCTAGAGCCAAGGCCGAAGGCGCAGCAGGCAGGCTAGGTGAGAGGGCGCGGACGGCGGGCGAGGCGCGACACCGTGGCAGACATCATGCGCGCGACCCACCACCCGGCACGCCCACCGAACAGCATGGCGTCTCAGCAGGCGGCATAAGTGACGGCAAGCGAGCTCTCGTGTTAGACAACAGAACCCATAGGCGCCCGGCCAGCGTCCGCGTGACTCCCGCCGCCCGGAAGCCGGGGCAGGGGACACATGCTGCAATGAGCTCCTTCAGCAGAGCTGGAGCAGAGCGAGCAGGGAGCGCGGCAGACCGGTCCATCTTTCAGTTATTGTTTTCAAGTGACACGTGATGAGAACATTTTATATTCTCATCTTGCATAAAGTAAATCTTACAACTGCTTCAACCATAGTGAGGTCAAAGTTACGAGCGAAATAGCTTGTTGGAACTGAAGTGTCCCATTCATAATATCTGATAGCACTCTCTTGCGTTGGACGTTTATGTAATGACCGTGGCGAACACGATCGCGGACAGACAATGGGTTGCGATCACATATAGAAGTTTTCAAGTTAAAGTTACCTTTCTGTGCATCCAACCAGTATGACGCCAGCACCGAATCATGAGCTCAGTACAGTCTATCACCGAGCACCGATTACCGGTCAGTTGTGCAACTCGTCTTCGCAAAATGTGTCATGGCTAAGTTTGCTTCCTGGTATGCTCAATTTCTGGACCATGATATTGATCACTGGACATGAATCATGCCCACAGATATAATCTAGGCAATTCGCTCTTCTTCCTATTATGACCGGTACAGTGCAGGCAGCAGCATGAGCGTGCTGTCACAACTAAGCCTAAGCTCCCATCATTAACGTGGATGATATCTGAGCGATGGCTAACCATCAATGACTTGACAGCATATCTAAAATCATTAACTGTGAGGATCGAATAAGGCTGAGCCACGTCACGATCGCCAGCGCAGGCTCCGCGATGCTGAAACCACGTGACAACAGCTCGGCATCTCCACGTAGCGCATTCAAGCCCAAGCGAGATCAAAGCTGGGCCAACAATGGCATTAGAATAAAGCGACGAGTTCCAAAATATTGGAACGAAACATTCTACTCCACACGAGAGCCGAGAACGACTGGAGATCGGTATAATGATACACAGGGCAAAATGGCTGCTATGTAAATCAGCGGCAAGCAGACTGCATGGCAAACCGGGGGCAAAGGCCGAACTCGGATTCCAAGAGGATCTTAGAGGAATGTAATCTAGACGAGTATCCAAGCCACGGTGCTTAATCCCAGCACAAGGATGCAGACCAACCACTGAAGCCTGCAGCGCGGGCACAGGGAGGCCGAGCGGTGCCCGCACTCGCTTGAAGCGTAACATTCCAGGGCATCTGCCACAGCTGGGGTGCCCACTCCATATCACTGTACGCACACGAAAGGTCTACTTAAGTGCATACTGTCATTAAAAATTGTAGTCCACATAGTGTGTATACGCACCAGACAGCATCACCCAAGCGTCTGTTATAACACGGATACTATATAAGCATAACGGGACGCCGCGGACGATGGATGAGCCGTACGCCTATGCAGACACCGATTATTCGTGGCTTCTGAAGACATATGGCCTTGCAGTTGCCTTTCCTCCCTTACTGGACGGAAATGCTGGTCACCATGACCAGTGACCAAAAAGCAGGAAGCAGCGCTTGTGTCAGTGTCACCTGATGCAGAGGAGTGCCTGCTCTCCGGCACATACTGCAGCCGGTCTGGTGCTGCTCTCTGGCTCATACTGC